AATCCTTCCTTCTCACTTTCTCTCACACTCTCTCTTTTTCTTTCCCCTTCTTTTCTTCTTTCCTCACTTCTCTGTATTCTCCTACCTCACATCTCAAGGGCCATATTTTGACTCAGTAGTTGTAAGTCATGTACCACAGTGAAGTTTTCTGACACATCACCAAGAGTATTACATTATCTGCAGTAAAACCTGCAAACAAAACCAGGAAAATAACTGCTACTTCAGACCCTCATATATATCAGATGGGAAAAAAAAGTGAAACATTAAGCAAAAATTCCCCTGCATAGTAAAGACAAAAAACAGTTCATTAAAAAGTAACATTAAATATAAAATAAATCTACATATCTGTCTCATTGGTTAATCAAAACCAGCAGTGATTATAAGGGAATTTTATTTAAAATCTTCTAAGTTCTTGTCATATGCATACCTTTCTAAACTAAGCTACATAAAAACCTTTTTCTTCATGCCTTTGGATTTTTGCAAAAAAATTTCACATAATAAAATTCCATTTTACTTTAATCTAAACCTAAAACCATGGGCACTTGGGGATCCTCTCAGTCCACGCAGCACAACATGAGGAGAAGGGAAGTTGCACTCTGTCAGTGTACAGGAATGGAGATTTTGGGCTCGTGGAGAATGTCATAGCCAGTGAGAGATCAGAAGAGAGGTGTGTGGTAGAACACCTCTCGCCTTCCTTAAAAGAAGTGAGCCATATGCATTTAATTCAAAGAAGAGATGTGTGAGACTGCCCCTGATGCGGGGTCCTGGCTACCAGATACCAGGTGATTGAAGCAGCTTCCTGCAGTCTTGATCAGGAGCTTGAGTTTGACATATGGCCAAGATTTTCTGACAAACCTCAGTATTCAGCGTGGGGTTTTTTCTCCTTTCTCATCCCTTGACTTTTCTTTGTGAAAACACTCTTTGAGCTGCCTTACACTTTTATTTCATCGTACAGAACAGCTGAGGTGCCCTAGAGGTCCAATAGTCTATTCTTTGAGGCAAGGACTGTTAAGTTACCTTTCTTTTTCTTTTTTTTTTTTCCCAGCACCTTCTACATGATGTGATTTAAATGGCAGATGAAAGGCCAGTATTATCAGGCTAATACCTGATAGTAATTAATACACACAAGTCATCTGAATTTGTTTAAAGAATCAATTTTCATCATAACTTCAACTTACAGCTACCAGTTTTCCCTTCTATAGCTGACAAATATCAAAGTCTTACTCTTTCATAAAGCATACCAGACTACATATTTCAAAAGTTTCTTTCTTTTTTTTTTTTTTTTTTTTTTTATTCATTGTTGGTATTTATTTGCATTCTTAGGAAACTGAACTATCTACATTGCAATATGACCAGGTGTATTTGCTGTCTGTGGCCACCCAGGACACATAAAGGAAACTTGTTCAGACAGGTATTTCACTGTCTCGGTTTAATTTCTATTTCCTGGCCAATGCACCAAATAATGTCTTCGTTTTGATTTGCCAATTTAAATAAACTCGTTTTTCTGTTGTGAGACAGAACCAGGAGCAAAAAAGCAAGACAGGCCTAAAACTTAAGAGAGCATTAAAAAAAAAGAAATTTATTAACTATACAAACAAAGGAGAAAAAAAAAAACACAAACAAATTCAGAATAAGATTTTTTTTCAGACCACTCCTTCCTTCTCTCTCCCAGCCTTCACAACAATAAAACAAACATACAACAACTACTTTGGTCAGTTCCCAACATAGTCCTTTTCAGCTCACTTCTGGAGAGAGAAGCCTCCTCTTGTTGAAGCTGTAGGGATTTTTTCCACAAGAAGGAAGAAAACAGTCTTCTCGTGGTTTCATTTTTCATGATTTGCATCCGCCCAGGAACCTGCAATCGTGACATTCCTCCCAACTCCACAGCCTTCCCAAAGCTGTAGATGTGGGCCATCTCTGTCTCATGGGGTATTACTTTTAAGAATGAAATGTTCTACAGCAAAGGTTCTCTTCATCTCCTTTCTCTCTGTTCAGGCTTCATCCTCAGAAAACTGAGATCCCCTTCTTTCCTCAGGGCAAAGATTCTCAGCACAGGTGCTTTTTGGTGAAATAGTCTATCAAATGGAACATCTCCAACCCCTCCATGTCTTTCTTCATAGTTTATAGGAATATTCAGTACATCAGTTCATCCCTATAATCTTACAAAAGGATTTTCAGCCATCTTGACAGTGTCTCCTCATTCTCCTTCCATCTAAAAAACTTAGCTCGTGCTTCACCGACTTCAGAAATCTTATTCCCTTTCATATTCAAAGGAAGGCCAGAGGCTTTGCAAATCTTATCTGAGCACTAAAGAGTTAAAGTTTAACACAACTACAAGAGTTGGGCCAGGCTCAGGCCATGCTGGAAGGGGCAGCTGAGGTGTCAATCAGCCTTTCTGGGGCTGGGCTGCAGCCCTACACTGCTCATGGCCATCCCTGCTTCCAGACAGGGCCCGGCCCTGCCCATGGCCACCCCTGCTCCCCAGACAGGGCCCAGCCCTGTCCATGGCCACCCCTGCTCCCCAGACAGGGCCTGGTCCTGCCCATGGCCACCCTGCTCCCCAGACAGGGCCCGGCCCTGCCCATGGCCCCCCCTGCTCCCCAGACAGGGCCCGGCCCTGCCCATGGCCACCCTGCTCCCCAGACAGGGCCCAGCCCTGCCCATGGCCACCCCTGCTCCCCAGACAGGGCCCGGCTGCCTCCCCCAGGCCCAGCCCTTCCAACAGCAGTAGGAACTGAGCCCCCCACCCCAGAGCCGTAGGCCCGTGGGGGAGGAAGCCGTGAAGGTTTTATCAACGAGCTTCTCCTCCTCCCGGCCATTGGGTCCTCTAGTTGCAAACAGGGCCCAAGCGGCCTCCTGAGCCTCCCCTCAACATGGTGAGGGAAACTCGGGCTGGTGTTACCTGCTCAGCCGCCAGAAAGTCAAAGAGACTCAGTTCTGGATTACCTCCTTCAAAATGTGTGTTCATGGAGCGAACTAACTGTCTTCCATTGAAGGTGTCCCAACCCCCGCAGAGGAAATTCCCTTAGAGAGAACTTCTCTCTGAGTTTCTTCTTCCCAAGTCAACCCATCACACACCTCATGCACAAAATTTAGCTTGTGAAATTTTGCCTGCTGAGAACGGGCTTTTGCAATATTGAATGAAGAAGAAAAAACATTCAGGAAGAATCTGCTTCAATTCCAGATCCTAAAGTGAAGCATCTTGTCCAGTTGGATTGAGATATAGGTGCATCATTGGTTTATTCACACAATTGTCTGCTGGAAGGCAGAAAAGCACGGAGGGATAGCAGGAAGCTGTATAAGAAGGCACACTTCTGAGCTCAGTTTTATATTCTATTACAGGAATGAAACAGCTAAGATGTAGTTGTTTTGGGGTTTTTTTTTCTTCTGTTTTAGAAATGACTTGAGCCTTCTGGCTTGAGTATGATTTCCAAAGTGTAATGAAGAAATATCTATAGAAGTAATCCTGTAAACGCAAACTCCTGCTATATGCTTGCTCACATCAGCAACATTATTCCTCCAAATAGCTTTAGATGAGACAAGTATGGTCTAGCTTCAGTATAAAAGCTCTGTGAATGCTCCTTTAACTTAGTTCTGTTACAGCACAGGTGTTTAGATGCTTGTAAAAAAGGTTGGAAACCCCCTGAAATTTGAAAAAGAGCCGCATGGATTCTTGGATGGGGCTTGGAGCAATCTGATCTAGTGGAAGGTGACCTGGCTCATGGAAAGGGGTTGGATTTGGATTATCTTTAAGGTTCCTTGCAAACCATTCTGTAATTCTATGATTCCTCAGCCTTAGTAGCTGACCTTACTGCGCTCATTTTGGAAAAAGGGGTTTTAGCAACTTCAGGAGAAGTTTGAGACTGTAAATGCATTATGTAAATTGGAACCCTGTCCTGCCTGCTTCTTATAGGACTGTAGGAATATTTCAGATAGCTTATGCAATTGTTTTTGCATCTTCCATTGTAAATAAATGGTACTGTTGTGCATGGGATGCTGTTAAAAAGTGAAGCTTGTTACATCTATTATGAAAGCTCTTGTTAACATTGTTCATGACAGTTTTTTCATCAGAATCATAGAATTATTAAGGTTGGAAGAGACCTCTAAGACAATCGAGTTCAATCATTTACCCAATAGTGACAAGTTTACACCATCTGTGACTCTAAGCACCATATCCACATATTTTTTCAACACTTCCAGGGGGTGGTGACTCCACCACTTCCCTGGGCAGCCTGTTCTAATCTTGAACACCCTTTCAGTGAAGAATTTTTTCCTAATATTCAATCTAAATCTTCCTTGCTTCAGCTTGAGAAAATTTCTTCTGGTCTTATTGCTTGTTATGTGGGAAAAGAGATTGACTCTCACCTATCTACTACATTCTTTTAGGTAATTGTAGAGAGCAGGGATGTCTCTCTTAAGCTAAGTCTGAAATCAAAGATGTATAACATACTTTACCCTGATGCAGAAACTGAGACTGCAATATTTATCTTCTCTGTGTTCTCTCTCATTTTTTTCATTGAGCATCTCTGGGAATAACCTAATTTCGTATTTTTAAGGTATCTATGAATTTATCAAAGACATAATAAACCCCCAAACTCCTCATTTGTCTTCTCTCCAGGGTGAACAGCCATCATCACCAGACTCTCTGTGTTCATGCTGCTCTCCAGACCCCTGACCATCTGGGTGGTGCTTTGCTAGACTGTGATGTACCCATGTCTCTCATGTTCTGGAGAGCAGAGCTCTCCAGAGATGTCTCACCAGTGTTGAGCAGAGAAGGATCTCCTTCCTCAACCCACTGGCTCTGTCTAATGCAGCCCAGGACACTGTTGACCTTCTTTGCTGCAAGAGCACACTGTTGTCTCATGGTCAACCCATGATCATGACCACTCCACGCCCTATTTTGCCAAGCTGCTTCCTACCCCTAACTGCCCAATAAGATATAATTACATAGCACAACTATAATAAGAAAAGCATATAGACAACTCTAATTAGCAAAATTATATCAATATTTTCTTTGCCAGTCAGGAAACCAGGCAGAGAGAGAACAGTATGTCATGGGAGAGACATGGCCCTCCTTCCCCTGAGGAGCTGGGGTCCAGGACTGCCAGCTCGTCCAGCTGTGGTTGCCTCCCGTGTTTGTTTTCCATGCAAGGGGAAGGAAGTGTTTGCTGATCTGCTGTGCCTGTGTTTAAACTGACTTTAGAAGTCTAATTGCCTGATGTTTTCTATTGTGTATTTGCTTGCTGCCTTGACTTGGTTTGGACTGGAGTGTGTTTGTTCTGAGTGATTTTGGAGTTTGTTTGTTTTAAGGGAAGGCAGGGATTTAACTAGATGGAAACTTATGGTGTGACTGTGCCAGCTGCTTCAAACAAGGAGTTTCTCTTCTCTCCAAACACCACTTTCTATGGAGCTTTGTTTCTGTTTTCTTCCTCTATAGATGTAGAAATGAATCATGCAGAAGGGAATCACCACTTGTTTCCCTGTTACATGTCCATTGAAAAAATAATTATTTAGGAAGAAAGAAGAAAATTCCCTGTAAGATATTTGTAAACAATTCCTTCATTGTTTTATTTTTTCCCCAACAAACTGATAAAAGTAATTTGTTATATTTTAACATAAGCACCTGTAAAACAGAAAAAAAAAAAAAAAATCAGCCACAAATGTATTTTCTGTGAGGAACATGGAAATTAGAATTGACAAATATTTAGGGTTAGTTATGTATAGTCTAAAGGTTTGCATCAGCGTCTGGCCTGTCAGGGTAGAGAAGACTGCAGTTTTTAAGAAGAAAATTTCCTTAGTAAAGCCTGTAAGGAAGCAAGTATAGATAAATAAACAAGAACAACAACAACAACAAAAACCCTCAGAACCCAACAAATCCTGGGCAAAAATGTTGACCAGTTTCTGTGGCTAGGAGAGAGCAAGGAAATAGTGAGGGCAAGAAAAAGAAGGAAAAAAATCTCAGTTTGTATTTGCACTTCTCATGAGCACCAGTATATGAAGGAAGTTTCAAAGCAAGACAAAATTGGAAACCAGAGTTTCTTTTATCATTCTGGAAGTAACATTAATCCTGTGATTTCTACACAGTGTATGCCACCACTGTTTTATTTTTCCGGGTCAAAATAAGCATCCATTGCTTCAGTGTAGCCTTTTCATTTTTAATTGTTTGTTTGCAGAAGTGCACTGTAAGTGATTAGAGACAGGAATGCATTAAGCAAACACAGACCACAGAGGTGAAAAAGGATCCCTAAATATTCTCTGGAGAGAATTATAGGAAGGTATCTCTGAAGCATCACCTGTATTTCCATCAGTGGGGAAATGAAATGAATCCCAAATGTCCCGTTTGGAAGGATTGGGAAAAGGGATCTTTAAAGCACGAGGACAGCTCCGGCTGTTTGTGGGTCTGGAAGGGAAGAGAGGGATGTGATGATGTTTGTTTGCAGTCTGTCAGGCAGCCACTAGATGTCTCTGATTATTGCACACAGTTCCAGCCCAATTCAGCCTCTGGTAAACAAAGGAGACAAAAGTGCAT